AGTCATTTTTCACTATCAAGATGAGCTCTTGGAGTAAAGTTTAAAAGAGTGCAGCAAAATATCACAAAAAGAAAAGGAGTACTTGTGGCACCTTAGAGACTAACCAATTTATTTGAGCATGAGCTTTCGTGAGCTACAGCTCACTTCATCAGATGCATACCGTGGAAACTGCAGCAGACTTTATATACACACAGAGAATATGAAACAATACCTCCTCCCACCCCACTGTCCTGCTGGTAATAGCTTATCTAAAGTGATCATCAGGTGCTGGGCCCACCTGATGATCACTTTAGATAAGCTATTACCAGCAGGACAGTGGGGTGGGAGGAGGTATTGTTTCATATTCTCTGTGTGTATTTAAAGTCTGCTGCAGTTTCCACGGTATGCATCTGATGAAGTGAGCTGTAGCTCACGAAAGCTCATGCTCAAATAAATTGGTTAGTCTCTAAGGTGCCACAAGTACTCCTTTTCTTTTTGCGAATACAGACTAACATGGCTGTTACTCAGAAACCAAAATATCACAGTTACCCCTAATTTATTAGGGCACTGCATCCTCTTATATCAGGCCTCTATTTGGCTTAATGAGTAAAGTTTAAATGCCATATCTATGTTACCGTAGTCCAAATATGGAAGGACAGCCTCAGTTTATATACATTTTGAGGTGACATCATTCTGTTCAGGGTTAAATTTAAAAAAAAAAAATCTATTGTTCCAGTTTAAATCTCTGTCCACTCACCCTCAAGTCCTTCAGGGTCTTTTTTTTTTCCTCCTCTCTCTCCTGTGCACTTCTGTTCCTCTTTTCATCCTGATGGACAGTTATAGTTTTGAATTAATTATTTATTTCCCCAAGGTACATAATATGCTTATATTATATATATTTTGGCTTAGCTTCTCGTGGACTTTTCTGATATTTTTTTTATTATGATGACAACATTGGAGTTGAAGCTTTATATGGGCTTCTGTGTGATATAAACATTTATCTGTTAGTTGAAATATTTTTTCTATAAATAATTTATTGGTGGACGTACATAAATCAGATGCTCTGTAGGGATATCAGCTATTCATCCATCTGTGGGGTGTGTAGAGTCAGTGAGGCAAAGCATGCATCACTTCTATCCAGAGAATGGCAAAAACAATCCAACTACTAGCATTTGCTGACATAAAAGAAAATGTTTAGTTGCAACAATCAAAAAATTTAAAAGCTCACAGAAGTCTGTTATCAGTGGAGTTGATCTAATAGTGAAAAAGCTGATCATTGAATAAAACTATCAAGTTTGTTTCACAGGGACTCATGGGGCAATATATTTGTGACATGAAAATGACTTCTGGCTTACTCTTGAAAATGGTTATGAATCCTAAAAGCTTCATTAATTTTAGCATGAATAATTTTTCATACAAAACTATGTATCTGATTGTTTATTGCTCCTTGTTAACTTGTTTAAAATATTTCAGTGCTCCAGTCCCAGAATATGAATGATGAATAGTCCAAATGAACAGTTCACAATCAAAACGTCATATTTGCAATAATTCATATCATTTGAATGCTCCAAAGACCGCCACTTTTGTTTCCCCCTGTTGATACACAGATATAAATCTTGTCCTTCCATCACACATTATTTTATTATTTTTAAAGCCCTCTGTTACTAGTACTTGTGTTGATTCAAAAAAGAAAAGACTAAGTATCCTGACCTCATAGCCCAATGCCTACTCTAGGACCGCTCTAGTCACATTGCCTTAAAAACAGCCAGCAGAACAGCTCAAAGCAAAGCCTGGGTTAAATGGCCAGTACTTCATTTAAATCCAGAATAGTAGGTTTAAAACAGAAATCAAATATTTTTACTGTGAGAGTCAGTATAGTGGGCATTGGGAAAGAGCACGATGCCCCAGGATGAGGCACCTGATTTATCATATAGGGGTGGGAGGCAACTCATATAAAACTGCTTCAAATGCTAATCTTCCCTAACATGATTACTCTCTATAAATATATCAGAGGGATAAATACTGGAGAGGGAGAGGAATTATTTAAGCTCAGTACCAATGTGGACACAAGAACAAATGTATATAAACTGGCCATCGGGAAGTTTAGACTTGAAATTAGACAAAGGTTTCTAACCATCAGAGGAGTGAAGTTCTGGAATAGCCTTCCAGGGAAAGCAGTGGGGGCAAAAGACCTATCTGGCTTCACGATTAAACTCAATACGTTTATGGAGGAGACGGTATGATGGGATAACATGATTTTGGCAATTAATTGATCTTCAACTATTCATGTCAAATAGGCCCAATGGCCTGTGATGGGATGTTAGATGGGGTGAGATCTGAGTTACTACAGAGAATTCTTTCCTGGGTATCTGGCTGGTGAATCTTGCCCACGTGCTAAGGGTTCAGCTGATCGCCATATTTGGGGTCGGGAAGGAATTTTCCTCCAGGGCAGATTGGAAGAGGCCCTGGGGGTTTTTCGCCTTCCTCTGTAGCATGGGGCATGGGTCATTTGCTGGAGGATTCTCTGCACCTTGAAGTCTTTAAACCATGATTTGAGGACTTCAATAACTCAGACATAGGTGAGAGGTTTATTGCAGGCGTGGGTGGGTGGAGATTCTGTGGCCTTCATTGTGCAGGAGGTCAGACTAGATGATCATAATGGGCCCTTCTGACCTTAATATCTACGAGTCTATGATCCGACTACCACATCTCAGGTTTGTCACAGGCAGATGAGCTCCAAACCCGCTAGCCTGTCACTAATTATTTATAAACCGCCAACATCAGAGAGTGTTGCTAAAGAAAATTGCCCCTTGACTGATGATCTTTGCTCACTGCCTGGGAGTCAAACTTACTAAATGACTTATCGGAAAAAGAGACACACTGATCAACACACTAACATCACACACTGCACTTTCTGATGAGGGAGAGTGAATGAGAGAAATCAGAGGGCAGTAAGGGGATAGAGGAAAAAGCCACCAAACCAGGATCAACGATGTTTTTCTGGGCTAAATGGAAAGTACTAGACAGAAGATTACCCTCTGAACCTCAGAGCACAACTCAGACATCAGAATACAGAGATGGATGTTAGGAATGTTATGATCCATAGCATATCAGCAAAGCTTTATACAGTGTGCAGTACCATAGAATAGTAGGTAAAACTCTGTACATTGTGTTCTGTAGTATAGTAACTGTTAATCTCTATTTATGACTGAAACTCATTCCAGCTTTAGATAATATCTGGCAATGAGTACAATGGGAAAGATGCTATGAATGCAGTCTAAGATTATCTAAGTTAAATTGATGGAAGGCTGAGATAATGTGTACTTTTCCTCTCTGTATTGCCTGTGCACGTACTGATTTTATACAGTAGGCCCCCAGAGCTGTTGATCTGAAACTCGCAGCTATTTCAAGAGTGTTCTTTTTTGAAGCATGTAAAATGTACTATTTCCAAGTCTTCCAACTATTTCTAAATCATGCATGTGTCTGGTCATAGAAGGATAACACGCTCTATATAAATCTTTGTCTTGTCGGTGCATTCACTTGCTTTTTTCATTAGTATGTGGGGAAGGATAAATCTTAAGAATTAAAATAAATCACACAATATCAGAATTCAAGAAGAAAATTAATGCACAGAGTGAACAAAGTATGTATATGTGCAAATATTATTAATCTGTTCTGTAAAACTGTATTGATCGGAAATGTTGCTGATATGGCTATTGATCTAATACAACTACAAAGTTAGACGAGGTGAAAATTAAAATAACTTTTATGTTATTTTAAAAGAGTTCACCTCAGTCCCAGAAAACACCAGCCGTTCACAGCTATGGCCCAAATCTGAGTTCTTGCTCAACCAGGCTTTCCATTGAGTTCCAGGTGAGTGAGGATTGAATATGGATGGCAGGATTTGGCCCAGATATTGACATGTAATTCTCTGTATAGCGCATTTTTACAAAACAATGCTGGACAGGGGTGCTGGAACAATTTTTATAATGGGGATGCTGAAAGCCATTGAATCAAACTGTGAATCCTATATGTAATGGAAACCACTTCAAGCCAAGGCTATGATGCTGGAGAATCAAGCTGGAGTGCTCAGCACTCAGTAGTTGAGACTATGTACACATGTGGACAGGATCCCTACATGCAGTAAATTAACTAAACAGACACTGCTTGTCACCATTTCAAATGAAACTGAAGGTATGGACTGTTTCCTATAGCGTCTGTCCACCCTAGGTTTTTATAAATCACCAGGATACCTACTTGCTGAAGTTTTTTCACCAGTGGTGTGACCAATCTTAAAATCTCAATGCAGGCAAAACTCCCATTGACTTCAGTGAGTTTGGGGCTTAAAGAGAGAGAGTACAGAATTATCTGTCTCACGCGCATGCGCGCTCACACAAACACTGCCAGCACAGTGACTGCGTAGCCACTACTGTGGCTCATGGGCTGTGACAGAAGACATTATTTGCTTTGTTCCCACTCCCCATTGCTTGTTTTACCCGTGTTTTTAGCCATATAGTTTATCAGCCTACTAGTCCCACCTGTGGCCTCACTGCACTGCCTTGGAGAGAGGAACTCCGTGTTGATCCATAAATTGCAAGGGGTAAAGATTCCCATTTATGGCTTCTCCAGAGTCAGATGCCCCTCACTCCCCTTTCTTGAAGCTCTGCTAACTATTTCAGTCCTTTTGTGCCTGTGTAATGGTGTCAGGCTATTCCCTTAAAGGTCAGGTTTTCAGAAACTCCTTGCACCAACAAACTACATGCAAGCACAGTTGGGCATGAAAACTGAGAATGTGTGAACATACCAGGTTGTGCAAAGACAAGGTATGTGTGTGTTTGTGAATGAGCATCCAGGTGTGCCGGCATTGTTCAGTTAGCAGGTTTTGGCATTGCTCTCACACACAAACAATTTTCAGTTGCCTTTTCGTATTGAGTTATTGCATAATTTATTGCATCTAAATGAAGCTGGGATTTTTGTAATGTTCATGCACTAAAATAGTAACACTTGCATTTTGTTGACAGAAAGGGCTTCAAAATACTGTGATGAAACAGGAAATTGGTTCCGACATCCAGAGAGCAATCGGACTTGGTCCAACTATACACTGTGTAACTCCTTCACCTCTGAAAAATTGAAGGTAGGCTCTGATTAACATTTCAGTATTTTCTGAGACTGATATTGAGCTGGGCCAACAGCACATTATCTGTGATAAATTTATATGATCTAAAGTTTAGCCAGAATATCGCAGATTAGCTGGAGTCTTGACAATGTAAGAGATGATCCAATTACTTGTTGTTTTTTTTTGTGTACTGCCACTAAGGTATATGTTTTTATCAAGTATTTTAAATTATATATTGGCATGTGAATTCTGTGGGGAAAGGAGGTTGCTTCAGAATAAAAGCTTCTTAGATAATTATTATATTTCAGTGGACTATAGCAGTCTTAGGCCCTTATCCTGGAAACCCTTGAATTTAATGTGGCTATTCACATGAGCACATTCATTTGTGTCAGTCTTTGCTGAAAGAGCAAACCCCCTGCAAGCCATGAATCAATGTGTTACTGTTGCTCTCTCCAAGAGATCATAGAGACACAGTAGATTCACTGTGCTTTTATGGTATATTGTGCCATGCCGGTTAGGACTTGTTTCTGAGAGATGCTGAGCACCTACAACTCCAATTAATTTCATTAGGAGTTGTGTGTGCTCCACAACAGTCAATTACTTATACTGTAGAACAGACTAGACGTAATTTTTCTGGAAACATTTAGACCTTGATCTTGTAAAGACGTGCACATGTCCGTTTATGCACGGTGAGTAGCTCCATTGAAGTCAGTGGGGCCACTCAGAATATGTAGCGGTAAGCACATGCATAAATCTGCGGGGTGGGAGCACTATTTTGGATCATATACCCACTGTGAATTTGCCAAAAGAAATGGACATGGGTACAGAACATGGGAAAAGCGAATACAGAAAATGGTACAATGATAAATTAAAAAAAAACTTAATTGTATTTTATTTGTATAAAACATTCAACCCAGAATTTTGTGGTCTCTAGCAAATCTATGGGTTGAAATGAATTATCAATGTCCATCAGTACATCAATGAGTTTTGAAATGTTTTTTGCTACTCTGACACTTTTTTTTACTTCGAATATTCATTTATGGTAGGTAAATATGTATTATATGGACCTACTTCAGTGGCTCCTTCTATCCTGTCCATCAACGTGATCATCTGGTGATTTTTTTTCTCATTAAAAAAGCAGTTGGAAAACTAAATTACACAAAGGATTTCTAGTATGGTATAAAACCTTTCACCTATAGGGTACAGAACTAGTTCCAGTTTACCTAGGATGATAGGAACTAAACATTTTTACTATCTGAGTACAGTTTATTACCTTTCTAAAATGAGTTGGTCATCTCTCTCTATTTTATACTAGACAGATATCAACTTTATAGGATCTACTGTCTCCATAACTGACATAGTTAGCCAGATATGGAAAATATCCCATGAAATAGTGACATAACTAAGCCAAGGAAAGGATTAGAGCTGATCAAACATAAGAACTTAGGAATGGCCATACTGAGTCAGACCAAAGGTCCATCTAGTCCAGTATCCTGTCTTCTGACAGTGGCCAATGGCTGGTGCCCCAGAGGGAATGAACAGAACAGGTAATCATCAAGTGTTCAATTCCCTGGTGCCCATTCCCAGCTTCTGGCAAACAAAGGCTAGGGACACTATCCCTGCCCATCCTGGCTAATAGCCATTAATGGACCTATTCTCCATGAATTTATCTAGTTCTTTTTTTGAACCCTGTTATAATCTTGTTATAAGCCTTCAAATATTTACTCTATACATTTCACATTTGTCCCCCTATTTGATAGTATTTTTTAAATTATTTACCCATCCCTAGAGCTGGGCTAATAACTGGATGAAGAATTTGTGATCAATTAATATAACGAATTTTGTAATAATAATTTTAAATGACTATTATTTTTACTTATTTGCCCAGTGCTAGTGAAGCTTCAGTTTAACATTTCATTTGAAGTTACTGTGACAAGCAACTCCAGCTGTTGATGGTATTTCTTCTGGGCTAAATCTTAGCATGACTTATAAAAAAAAAAAAAAAAAAACCCACATTTTCACAAGTAAAAGTCATTGCCCTGCATTCGAGCCCTTTGAAAATAAGTTGATACAAAGACACTGCTCAGCCAGAAAGTCCTACAAAGCTGCATACACTTAACTTTAAACATGTAACAATTCCACTGAAATCAATGGCCCTACTTATGTGAGTAAAGTTAAATATGTGCATAAATTGTCTGCAGGATTAGGATGCTAACCTTGAGGAGAGAATTAAGAATACTGAACCAAAGGTGACACAAAAAGAGACAAGGACCAAGAAATGTGAGGAAAAGCTTTAAAAAATATAAACTTAGGGGTGCTTATCAAAATCAACACGTTTCTGAAATCTGAGTGGAACCCCAGAAAACTTTGATTACAGTAAATAATTTGACTCCTTGGAATTCGAGAAGGAAAAGAGCCAGACCCTCATTTGTTTTTGTTTTCTAAACAGCTACCTAATGTCCGGTTATACTTAGTAACGGACCATTCTACAGTGTATTGGAAAGATCTATTGGACTGATCTGAGATGATTTTTCTTTACCATAAAGAACCATTGGTGTAAAATGTGCTAACCTATGTGTGACACAGACAATTATAGTAACAACTATTATAGTAATAGTAACAACTTGAGGTCCCAAAGGCATTGAATAAAAGGACTGTGAAAACGTCATTTTTCTAGATATGAGCACAATACCGACAGGCAAAAATGTAGTTCTGTTATCTATTAAGCATGCCTTCCAGAAGAAGAATTTTGAACATAATTCAGCTAAAGTGCAGATAAAATACAAAGGAAACTTTTGCATATGTTACGTCTTTCTGTATTTTCCATTTTATTTTTCTGCAGCAGGATCCCATCTCTATAGTTATGCCAAGTTGGCCGCTTACCTTTAATCCATATATTCCTAAACCAAGAGTGTGCTTAATTTATAAACTTCTAACCAGTATATACTGATAATCTCATTAGTATTGGAATAAGAGGTGTTATTTTCTAAGATTACCTTTAACAAAGTGTTCCTTCCAGTTAAGAAATGTTGAAAAAAGTTTCAGAGTAACAGCCATGTTAATCTGTATTCGCAAAAAGAAAAGGAGTACTTGTGGCACCTTAGAGACTAACCAATTTATTTGAGCATGAGCTTTTGTGAGCTACAGCTAACTTCATCGGATGCAGTGAGCTGTAGCTCACGAAAGCTCATGCTCAAATAAATTGGTTAGTCTCTAAGGTGCCACAAGTACTCTTTTTCTTTTTGTTGAAAAAAGTGACCATCAAAAGTATTTCATTTAGTAGCATTCCATACTGAAGACAAAAAGCTATATACAAAGCTTTATAAATCCTAAATGGGAGATGAGATAGAACAAGGTGGAGTTTTTAGGAATACAGAGTTACTAGAACAGTTCAACATATGTCCTGATTTAATAGGAGATACCAAATATTCTATATTTGTAGGATATAGCAGTTCATTAGTCTACACTGCAGAGGCTGTTACAGTTGTGCAGAGACACTATATGATGTATTATTTGACAGTCCAATGCATTCAGATTTACCTTCATTTAATTTTTAGAAATCTGCATTGAACAAACACACAGTATGCTTTTATGGTGTTATCACAAATGTTATTGCTGACTTTGAGGTAATGTGTTTAAAAATGCCTTCATAGCCCTAAAATGAATGTTTGACAGTTTGAACAGGTTTCAGTCTTTCAGGATAAACACACACAAACATACTTGGTACTTTCATTTGTATGTAAATACCCATAGTTCTTTTCCATTTTATAGCTGGTTCATAGCAATCTTGGTGTACAAGAGCAACAACAAATCAAAAAGTTTAGGGATGGTTTCTGTGTGAACTAAGTTCTGGCTATGAAGATGTGCTAACTAGGACATGCATAAAAGCAACAGCATAACTTCAGCAAACAGTCAAGGAACGACAAGGAACATACATGAAAAAATAGTATTCTAATCAGATAGTCAAGAAAGTTACCCTGTCCTCACTACATCCTACCCTCTTCTATGTGGAGTTTCTATCATCACCAGAGCAGCTAGCCTAGCATTTGCACTCTCCACCCATATTGTGGCTGATCACTGTGTAGGAACATAAAGAGGTGGAAGGCTCCTTGCACCCTCACTACTGTGTGTGCAGAAACAGTCAAACTCCAGGTTATACATTCAAATAGGCTTATATACACTGTGGCCACTATACAATACTCTGGTAGGTACCAATAATCTGGCCAATTATATTTACACCCACTTTATGTCCACTAAGATGTCCAGAACTGTGTAAAGTTACTTCAGTGTAAACAAACAAACAAAAAAGACTCCCAGTCCTGCTCCCATTTAAGCCAGTGGCAGCAGGACTTGACACCATAACTGTAAAATGGCAAGAGCATTGAGTAGTTTAAAAAAATACCCCTGTACCGTGAAGAACTAATTTTTCTGCTTTTTTTTTTTAATGAAACTGCAAATTGTGTTCATAACTCCCATAAATTTAGAATCACATGCAGCACGACTAAAGAAAGCTGGGTAATTAGAAGCTAGCTAGATGCTAACTGAAGATGAGTGATCTCAAAGTGTTGTTGAAACACCCCTTCTCCCTCAATTCTTCCCACATTGCCAGAAACACAGGAGGAAAAGGGAGGGCAGTGGGGCAGTGATGAATAGGAAAACAATGCCTGAAATGCTGGTATGGTACTTAAGTATTTTGTGGAGGAGGACATTCCTTTAAAAAGAGTTCATTTAATTATTTAAGACGAAAAAGGGAAACTTCTTGTGTGGAACAAAAGAAGAACTAATGAAGCATCTCCAGACAGAAAGGAAGCCTAGCAGACCAGCTAATAAATGATTTCTCAGAGTATGCTACTAAAATATCAATCCTTTCATTAAAGAAGGTAATAGTGGAGACTTCCCAGCTGCCAGTTTCCAGAAATCATTCTATAGCTCAAGGACACTCAAGGGCTTGGCCAAGAACAAATATGACATTTGAATAATGCAGCATTCTATAGCCAGTGCTGTTGCATGTGATTTTGTTTCAGTAGTAAATTGACAGCAAATGAAACATGAATAAGCCTATTTTATATTTTGGTGATATCGACCAGGTGTCTGTTTTTCCTGCCACTTATAACAGCTTTTGATTGGTGTAACGCCTATTGGCCACGCAGTTTCACTGGATTTACATCAGTCTGAGAGCAGAATTTGTCCCATGGACTTACTTCTTCGTATTGGTGTAAGTGAGAGGAGACTCAGACATGGGAAGTTTAATTAACACAAATTGTTTTTCCAAAGTATTTTTTGAAGAATGTGCCATGTGTTTTGAGTGGCATTTGCAATATGGATCTGATTTTTTGTTCTAATAAATCTAATTGTTTCCCCTTAAAGTTAATTGGAATTTTGCCATTGCCTTTGGGGGCAGAAGCAGACCCTGCTTGTGAAAAAACACTTAATCTCATCTCTTTACTTTTAGTCATGCCTTTTAATGTATTGTGAATGTTTCAGGAGTATCTCAAATAAGCTTCTAAATCAAAATAAATCAAAATTGTTTGGCTGGTTTTGCAAATTCTTGCGCACAATAAGAATTAAATTGCTCCTTGCTAGTTTTTCACGTTTTCTTTTTTTTTTTTATTCCAGATGGCATTCATACTTTATTATATGGCTATAGTAGGCCATGCTTTGTCTATAACTTCACTGTTGATTTCCCTGGGGATTTTCTTCTATTTCAAGTAAGTGTTTCTTTCAGCTTCTGCTTTTTTTCTTCTCTGACATATTACCAAATGCTAGGAGTGGTTGTGGGAATACAGGGGGACTTGACAGTTATGATCACTTATTATTATTGTTCCTGATAATACGGGAAGAAATTTATATGCCCAGTTCTTGTGCCAAGTAATCTTAAAGTACATGATCGCAGGAGGATCTCTCCAATGTACAGGGATCTTTCAGTAGTGCATATAGCCTGGATCGTATATCACTATCCTCTTTATGGTTGGCATCCGAGGTGTGGCCAGTAGAACGGTGGTGTGACTGGGGATTCATTAGGCCTCACTGATTCACCAGTTGCCTATTGACTCTTTGAGTATGCTGGTAGCTATTGTAATACCAAAGGATCCTACTGGGTTATAATTTGGGGTCCACCATTCTCTGACCTCAGTTGTATAATACTCCTCATCAATTGCTGATCTGGGCCACGGACCAGAAACCCAGTGAACCTGAAACAAATTACATAGGGTGTAATCATCCTCTGAATCCTACTGGAGGTTATAAAGTGAGATCTTGTGGAAGGAGTTTGAAAGGGTCTTGATGTTCATAAAAATATTTGCAACATCTGTATAGCAGCTTAATTAGGACAATAAAATTGTATACTTCACAGTGTAAGTCTGGCATATAGCTTTTTATGAAATATCTCTGTCGAAGTGGCAGAGGTATCTCCCTGGATTCAATTCTGCTTCAGATATATATTCACAATTTCCATTAACTTCAGTGAGAGTAGTATAGGGCTATTGGAGGGCAGAACAGAGCCTGCTGTTTTCAGTAAAGAGAAATGGTAGTCACTAGGGCTGTCAAGTAATTAAAAAAATTAATCGTGATTAATCACACGATTAAAAAAATCCATCATGATTAATCAAGCAATTAATCGCACTGTTACACAATAATAGAATACCATTTATTTAAATATTTTTGGATGTTTTCTACATTTTCAAATATATTGATTTAAATTACAATACAGAATACATTGTGTACAGTGCTCACTTCATATTTTATTTATTTCAAGTATTTGCACTGTAAAAAAGCTAAAGAAATAATATTTTTCAATTCACCTAATACAAGTATTGTAGTGCAATCTCTTTATCATGAAAGTTGAACTTACAAACGTAGAATTATGTAAAAAAACCTGCATTCAAAAATAAAACAATGTAAAATTTTAGTCTGCAAGTCCACTCAGACCTACTTCTTGTTCAGTCAATTGCTCAGACAAACGAGTTTGTTTTCATTTTCAGGAGATAATGCTGCCCTCTTCTTGTTTACAATGTCACCTGAAAGTGAGAACAGGCATTCTCATGGCACTGTTGTAGCCGGCGTCATAAGATATTTACGTGCCAGATGTGCTAAAGGATTCATATGTCCCTTCATGCTTCAACCACCATTCCAGGGGACATGCGTCCATGCTGATGACGGGTTCTGCTTGATAACAATCCAAAGCAGTGCGGACCGAAGCATGTTCATTTTCATCATCTGAGTCAGATGCCACCAGCAGAAGGTTGATTTTATTTTTGGTGGTTCGGGTTCTGTAGTTTCCGCATGGGAGTGTTGCTCCTTTAAGACTTCTGAAAGCATGCTCCACACCGCCTCCCTCTCAGATTTTGGAAGGCACTTCAGATTCTTAAACCTTGGGTCGAGTGCTGTAGCTTTCTTTAGAAATCTCACATTGGTACCTTGTTTGCATTTTGTCAAATCTGCAGTGAAAGTGTTCCTAAAATAAACAACATGTGTTGGGTCGTCATCCGAGACTGCTATAACATGAAATATATGGCAGAATGTGGGTAAAACAGAACAGGGGACATATAATTCTCCCCCAAGGAATTCAGTCACAAATTTAATTAACACATTTTTTTAATGAGCATCATCAGCATGGAAGCATGTCCTCTGGAATGGTGGCCGAAGCATGAAGGGACATATGAATCTTTAGCAAATCTGGCACGTAAATACCTTGCAATGCCGCTACAAAAATGCCATGTGAATGCCTGTTCTCACTTTCTGGTGACACTGTAAAATAAGAAGAGAGCAGCATTATCTCCTGTAAATGTAAGCAAACTGGTTTGTCTTAATGATCAGCTGAACAAGAAGTAGGACTGAATGGACTTGGAGGCTCTGAAGTTTTACATTGTTTTGTTTTTGAATGCAGTTATGTAACACAAAAAATCAACATTTCTAAGTTGCACTTTCAGAACAAAGAGATTGCGCCACAGCACTTGTATGAGGTAAATTGAAAAATACTATTTCTTTTGTTTATCATTTTTACAGTGCAAATATTTGTAATCAAAAATAATATACTCTTTGATTTCAATTACAACACAGAAAACAATATATATGAAAAGGCAGAAAAACATGCAAAATATTTAAGAAATTTAATCAGTATTCTATTGTTTAACAATGTGATTTAAAACTGATTAATCGCAATTCATTTTTTTGAGTTAATCTTGTGAGTTAACTGCAATTAGTTGACAGCCCTAGTAGTCACCCTAACTAAAAAAACAGCATTTTTAACAGTTTAAGTACCCCAATTTGTTCTTACCTAACTTTTCATTGTATTTAGAGTATCATAGATACCAATGTATGGTAACTCTTGGTCAGTGATGACTTCTTAATGGCGGCTGCTGTGTTTGTGTGTGTGTGTGTGTGTGTGTGTGAGAGAGAGAGAGAGCGCTCGCACACGTGAATGCAAATTACAAGGAAAATGTTCAAACATAAAGATGAATCATTGGGGAAGATCCTCATCTGGGGTAAATCTGCCTTGACGTCACTGAAGCTATGCTGATTTACACCAGACGTGTTGTTGTTAAGCAACATTAGTACAGTACTTGCTTTCATCATTATATAATAAACTAAACCTGCAGCACTGATAGTGCATATTCACAAATATTTTGACGAAACAGAAGGAATGACACAGACAAATTTTAAAAAAACTTCTGGGGTTAGGGACCAGGTCCACAGCTGATACTATACCAGTCAACACCAGGTGAGGATCCATCCCCAGAACTCTAACTCACAAATAGGGAAATGTGGACCATCATAGAATCATAGAATATCAGGGTTGGAAGGGACCTCAGGAGGTCATCTCGTCCAACCCCCTGCTCAAAGCAGGACCAATGCCCAATTTTTGCCCCAGATCCCTAAATGGCCCCCTCAAGGATTGAACTCACAATCCTGGGTTTAGCAGGTCAATGCTCAAACCACTGAGCTATCCTTTCCCTCCTCCCCCCCACAGCACAACACAACCAAAACTAATTGTAGGACAACTGCAAATTTCAAAGACTAGTTAAATATTTCCAAATCTGCGTGATAAAAAGCCACTCAGAAAAACTTTCTCCACTCCACACCACAACAAAAGCATGACAATTTTAAAAGTATGTCTGCATCAAAACAAGTAATGCGCACAATTATATCCTACTGGAATTTCAGTTCCAGAATAAGTTTGCATCTTTCAAGAGCTGAACAGAAAGAAAGCAACATCAAAACCAATTAAGCTAATTGCAAAACATATATATAGAAGACTTCAAGAGTATGGAAAACAGGAAATATGACAAACATCTTTTTCTCTAAAAAGGTTCTTATACAGTGCATAAGAAAGAGTAATTGCACAATAATGACAATCAGTAGTAATTAAAAATCTGCAAGCTTTTTATTATAAACCTGTATTTATTTGGAGATAATAATTTAGTCTTAAAAATTCACGTCAGGCTAAAACAAACTATCCATTAGTTATGCTGGTGCACAAACCAGGATGATTTGGTGTGACAAGGTGCCATATTATTTTCAGTATTTTTAGTACTGGGAAGTGATTGAAAGCCAATTTGGAAGCAGTCAAGGAAGTTCTGTTGGGAGAGTAGGTCAAAAAGATGGGAAAAAATCTTGCTCTCCAAATCTGTCAAAGAAAATCATGTTGAAGATGAGATGGTAGTTTAATCAGTGAAGAGACAGGAGTGGAGGAGGGATAGAAAGATAGAGTCGTTTTGTTTATGGGGGAGAGAGAGAGAGACCCACTGGCCTGGACTATTTAATGATTGATGGCAGTGATTTGAAATACATGGGTAGCGAGGCAATAGTTCTACACAGCTAAAGATCTAATCTTAGATATGTGTCCCTTACCTTTGTTTACAGCTTCTAGACAGCTTGATGAAGGGTAGGTGCATTAGAAGGATACACGTTAGAGGTGTACAAGGGAGAAAACTGTTTCTGTTAGATAAAATTGTGCTCAATTTAAAATGTGTTAATTTTGCTTGTGTTTCTTTGATCCAAATTTCACCTGCATATATATTGGCAATATCAAAGCATATGGGTCAGCTCCTCAATTAGTGTAAATCAACTTATCTTCTTTGAGATCTTTGGGGCTATGCCACTAGCTGAGAATATGGCCCTGAGTCTACTAGACATACTAATAGAATTATAAAGATATATAAGGAAAAAACACTTTTTGTTTGAATTTGCAAATTCTTATCCAATTCTAAAGTGACTAAACTTTGAATTTGTTTTACAAAATTCAGACAAAGGTATTAAAGGAGAGCTGAGAAGGAACATGGGTATGAAAACCGTATTTACTATGCGAAAAACTGCTCAGTATTTTGTGAACTATTCACTTTACTGGCACTTTTGTGATAGGGCAAGATTCCTCTCTCTTTCTTATAGTTATAAACAGCGGCTCTATGAAGGCCAGTACTAGGCATTTGTCTATTCTTTAACTTTCTAATGCAGTGTCACAAAATTCTACTCTCCCACTCATCCTGGGAGACCAGGTTTTTTAAGGCCCCAATTTGATTCTGTGAACATAGAACATAGGACTGGAAGGAATCTCCTTTATTGAATCCAGTCCCCTGCTGTTGCAGGCAATCCCATGCTGTGCTTTGTTTAACTTGACTATCTTTAGTTTAGTTTAGTTTAGTTTAGTTTAGTTTCAAAGGGGCTACTCACAGTAGTAAAGTTAAGCATGTGCATACGTGTTTGCAGGATC